AGTGATGAGTGCATTTACATTTTTAGATTATTTTAAACAGCATGAGGAAAGTATTCCTTTGTGGGACTTACCTTCCCTCAGAGAAGAGATGATGAAGTAGGACTAAGAAGGTGACAAAGAGGGTGTGAGGAATAGGAAAAGACTCATTCCACTGCAAGTATTTAGAGGGATATAGCAAGAAACAAAACAGATATACCTCTGCCCTCATGGAACTTTAGTAATGTTGAGATTAGATTCTAGGTCTTTTACATAGGTGTCTCAATGTGACCACTTGCCAAACTAAGGAATATAGAAAAGATAGGGCTGCCATGGCTGTTTGGTGTTAAATTTCATATGCCTTGTTCTAGGGGCTGGTGACTCACATCTGTACTCCTAGCTGCTCAGGAGGCTGAGATCTGAGGGTTGAGTTTTGAAGGAAAGTCCAAGAGGCTTTTATCTCCAGTGAACTAGCAAAAATCCAGAAGTGGAGCCATGTCTCAAGTGATAGATCTCTAGCCTTGAGTGAAAAAGCCAAGTGAAAGCAAGAGGCACTGAGTTGAAGCCTCAGTATCAACACACACACACACACACACACACACACAGAGGCATGTACACACACAAATTTATATGCCTTGTAGCCTCAAAGTAGGATCTGTCCGGTAAGCAATATCAGTCTGGAACAGACAATCAGGGTTTGATCTATAATATAAATTGAGTGGTCTGTTAGGGGATGATTAGTAGTTTGAAACCTGCAGACAGTGCATAATTGTAGATGGAGTGGAGGGATGGGGCCCTTAGCTCCAAACACTGGGAAAGATTTTTATTTAAAGGAAATGCAGATTTCAAAAGCCCACCAGCTCCAGCTAAGAGAAACCTTGGTGGTCAAGGAAAAGCCCACAAATAACATCATGGCATGCAAGGCCAGGAGAAGAGGTAGGAAGAGATTGGTAAGTAGTATCAAACATTACAGAGATGATGAGAAATGAAAAATAAACTTCCTGGCAAAGATACTATTAGAAACCTTGTTTAGGACAGTTTCTGTTTAGCACTAAAGGTTGATGTCAGAGTAAATTAGGTCATTTTTTATTATAAATTGAAATAGAAAGGAAAAAGAATGCTATTCTCAAAATGTTTGGCTATATTACCATTAATATCGATAATTTTATATGAAAGCATGCTTGTAATATTAATTGGATAAATAGGTTATTAAATAGTGTATAGCATAATTTTACTTATTCCAGTTATCTATTACTACATAAAAAGCCACCATAGTTGAATATGATAGTGTATGCTGCAGTCCCAGCTACTTAGGAGGCAAAAATATGAGGCTTTCAGTCCAAAGCCAGTCCAGGCAATAGCATAAGATCCTACCTAAAAGCAAAGTAAGGGGCTGGGAAGTTGGCTCAGTGGTAGAGCGCTTGCCTTGCATGCCTGAGGCCCTGGGTTCGATTCCTCAGCACCACATAAGCAAAAAGAAAAAAGCCGGAAGTGGCACTGTGGCTCAAGTGGTAGGGCACTAGCCTTGAGCTGAAGAGCTGAGAGACAGTGCTCAGGCCCAGAGTTCAGGCCCCACAACCGGACCAAAAAATAAATAAATAAAAGCAAAGTAAAATTGCAGAAAGGAATATGGTCTTGGCTCAAGTGGCAGAGAGCACTTGCCTAGCAAATGTGAAGCCGGGAGTTCAGGCCCCAATACTGCCTTCCCCTCCAAAAATGCAATGGCATAAAATAATGTCTTATTAACTCCACAGGTTATCTGGATTTAGTGCGTTAGTTTTTACATTTATTTTAACTTTTTAGAAAATTCTTGTTGTAAGTATGTGCTTTCACACTAAGGTAACTAAACTGGGTGATTTTACTTTAATTTTTTGGTGCTGGTACTGGGGTTTGAACAACCCAGGGCTCCCTGAGTTGCTTGAGACTAGAATTCTACCACTTGAATCACAGCTCCAATTCTGGATTTTTGCTGATTTATTAAAGATAAGAGTCTCTTGGACTCCCCAGCTTGGGATAACTTCAACCCTCGAATTCCAGCCTCCTGAATTTCTAGGATTACAAACATGAGCCACCAGCACCTGGCTGAAACTGGGTGATTGTTGATGAGTATATCTTGCAGAATTGTACTTACATAATGGAATCATGGGAATTCTTTCATGTTTTCCCCTTTGCTTATGTGTATTTTCTTAGCTGCCTATGTGAAACACACTTATTGCATTGACATTAAGAAAACTGCTATAGCTGTTTGTAATTTAGCTATAGAAGTTAGTCTAGAAGGAAAGAGGAAAGTAAAGACTTCCCCCAGAAAGCAACAATAGCTGAAAGAAGAATTCTTTTGGAGGAAGTTTAAGGAGGGAGGGAGTTCAGCAGATTTGGAAACAAACTGAACTCCTGTGCTGACATAATTTAAGAAATTATGTCAGCACATTTATGTAATATTCCTGCCTTTGCCCCCATAAATGTAATTTTAAAATGTCTTAAAATGATTATCATATAGAAACAATTAGATTAATAGAAATTGAGATACTCTCTGCAAACTGATCCAAATAATTGAAAATGTCAATAGGGCAGGGATTGTAGCTCCATGGTAAAGTACTTACCTAGTATGCAGGAGGCACTAGGTTTGATTTCAACAGTGGAAAACCAAAGGGAAAACAGAAGGGAGGGAGGAAGGAAGGGAATAGTCCCAACTTTTTTTTGTTTGTTTGGTTGGTTGTGGGGCTTGAATTCAGGGTCTGGACACTGTCCCTGAGCTATTTTACTCAAGGCCAGCACCCTAGCACCTTGAGCCACAGAACCACTTCTGGTTTTCTTTCTGGTGGCTAATTGGAGATAAGAGTCTCACAGGGACCTTTCCACCTGGGCTACTCAGATCTCAGCCTCCTGGGATTACAGGCATGAAGCACAAGCACCCAGTGATTCCAACCTTAAGAAGAACAAAGCATTTCCAGGCACTGATGGTCATGCCTGTAATCCTAGCTACTCAGAAGGCTGAGATCTGAAGATCATGGTTCAAAGCCAGCTCAAGCAGATATATCCAAGAGATTTTTTTTTTTATCTCTAATAAACACCAAAAAGCTGGAAATGAATGTGTAACTCAAGAGGTAGAGTACCAGACTTAAGTGAAAAGCCAAGCAAAAGCATGAGGTTCTCAGTTTAAGCCCCAGTACCATCACCATAAAAAAAAAATCAACACGACAAGTGTGTGATCCTATATTGGTTCCTCTATTGGAGGGGGACAATTTTAAGGAACATTATTTGAGCATTTGGGGAGGGGGATTTATATTTGCTAGTAATGGTATTCTGTCATCAATAGTAAATGTTATTAGGCAGAAGAATATATTATCCTTGTTTCTGAAGTGTCAAAGAACAAAATTTCTTTTTTTTTCTTTTCTTCTCGTACTGGGGCTTGTTGGCTTAAACTCAGAGTCTTGCTCTCCCATTTAGCTTTGTCACTCACAACTGGAGCTCTACCACTTGAGTCACACCTCCACTTCCAATTTTTATTGTTTATTGGAGATAAGAGTCTCTTGGATTGTCTGCCTGGGCTGGCTTTGAACCATGAGCCTCAGATTTCAGCCTCCAGAGCTGAGCCTCACATTCCACAGTCTCTGCATGTGACTGGAACACAGAACCCTTTCCCTCCTAGCCTGCTCTCCCTTATTGTGTGCTTTTTGGTACTTCACTATCTTCAAGTATGACATATAAACTTTTAACAAGGAATTCATGTGCTGGGGAATACGTGGTAAGAACCTGAAGCACTAGTTTGCAGGTGGAATAAATTTGCCTGGCACTGACAAAACTCATTATAGCTACATTTCACTTCCCAGAAGAACAATCATACTTTGTACAAAGAAATTAGAAGATAAGAAAGGTGAGAGAACACCAAGGTGTGACCTTAAGGTTGTTGACAAGGGAAAATCGAACGTTTTGATGATTTACTATGCATAGAGTGCGTTAACTTTTTGTGATATAGTAATTGTTATCTCTATCTTTTGGAGAAGGGATCTGTACCCATGCAGGTGGTTTGAACCTAGATCAAACCCAAAGCCACATTATTTCTCAAAATGCCACGTTGTCTGGGAGTAGAAGCATCTTTCCTGAGAACAGTTTTCCCAGAATTGGTGCAGACTATAAATGCCTACGGCCAAGCTTCAACAGATTTCCTTGTTTCCATCTGAAACCTAGGAAGAAAACAAAATATTGACTTATTGAAGCAGGACCAAAAGATAAATTGCTTTTGCCTAGACAGCACTTTGAAATAGGGGGCAATTCCATTACCTTTATGCTTGCTTTTCGATTTTATTTATTTAATTATTAATTTATTTACAGTGTAAGGCCTGGGCTCTGTCCCTGAGCTTCTTTTGCTCTTACTGCTCTACCACTTGAACCACAGCTCCACTTCTGGCTTTTTTTTTTTTTTTTTTTAAGTTTAATGGAGATAAAGAGCCTCAGATTTTCCTGAGGATCGATCCATGATCCTCAGATCTCAGCCTCCTGAGTATCTAGCATTACAGGCGTGAGCCACCAGCGCCCAGCTGCTTTTCTACTTTTTAAGACAGATGATCTGGTACTCCATAGAGGGAGAAAATGATCACGGGTGGGGAAAAAGGGACAGCTGGAAATTATGGAAAACAATTTCAAAAACTACATTGGGGTTATGCTGCAATTCAAAGAAATGAGTGCCCAGAGAGAGACGGAGGTCTCCGAGGTGCGGTACAGACCTCAGAAGTCCGATATGCAGGGCTACACAGACTGGTATTATTGCGGATGACCGATACTGTACTTCCTCGGTAGGCCTGGACCACGCCCACACAAGCCAGCAAGGCCAAGTGGCTGCTGCGCGCCCAGGCTAGATGGGACCAGGCTCCGCCCCACCCTCCCAGGCCCCGCCCCAATGCGGCCCGCCCAGCCACGCAGGGGCCTGGGGCTCTAGGCGGAAGTCCAGCCCCAGGTAGGAACTTTGTTTCTTCCCTCCGATGCTTTTCTTGGAGGGCTGGTTTAGCAAGCACATACTTCCGGGTTGAAAGGCTTTGCTTCCGGAGAGCGGGAAGGCTGAAACGCGGTGGTAAAGCTGGAGCCAGACTAGCGAGCTTCTAGGTGGCGAAGGTCCTGGCCATGGACAGGTAAGACCTGATGGTGACCGCAGGGGCGCGCCCGAGGCTGCGTGCTCCTTGCCTGGTGGCGGAACTAAGTAGATGAAACCCTGTTTCCAAAGGAAGCCGAGGAGAAGGTCCTGGAGACCGCCTGTAGGACTTCTTTCCTTGGGCCTGCAGTTGGAAAACTCTCAGAGGGAAGGCTGGGACGTGGGGGACGCGGGCGGGGCCCGGGGCCGGGGTGGTGATGACCTCTCGCTCCCACTTGTAACTGCAGTCTGGCGGATGCTGGCACCCAACGTTGTGCCTCCCAGAGGTGGGCGGGGTAGGCGGTGAGCAGGCGGAATGCATGCTCGCCGCGTATCGTAGTGAAGTTCACTATGATCAGGCCAGGCTTTAAAATTAGATGTGCTAATAGCAGATAACTAAATCATGATTATGCCAGCCGCCTGAATTATTCAGGGTTCTTGCTTCGGGAAATGCATTTTATAGTGGAGGAGCCAAACAGTGTAAAGCTGGAAGTGCTAAGTGCTCACTGCGGGGAAAGAAGTGAAGCTGGCAAGTCTCTCCTTGTCGCAAGAAGTTTCAGGATACCCTGTCAGACAAGGTGACTTTCTAAGCTGGTTTTTGAGTAGTAGTAATAATAATAATAGTATATAATTAATATTCAAAACATTGGAATGCCTTACTAAGATACCTTACTTAAAAAGGTACTCTGAGGAGCTGTACATTCATCTTCTTTTCATAGATAAATACGAGACAAAAGTAAGGAGGCTAATAAGCAGAAAAACCAAGTTGCCAACTTGAAGCTGTGTATCTGCAGCCTCTATAAGGCTGGTTGATGAGTAGGTATTCACCAAGTGGACACAGAAGCAAATACACACATGTATGCATTCACAAATGTAAGATATGAAAAGTGTGCATTGTCGGATATATGTGTATATGGAGTCACATTTGAGGCTGAATACAGAGCTGAAGCTGTGATGTAGAGTGGCATTGTTACATTGCTAGCAAATAGGAATTTGCATGTGTAGGCCAGAGAGAGTGATCTTAGGATTTCAAGGGAAATCATATTCAGTTCTTGTTTGAAAACACATTTTAGGGGCTGAGAAGGTGGCTCAGCAGTAGAGTGCTTGCCCCACATTCATGAGGCCCTCAGTTCAATTTCCTACCACCACATAAACAGAAAAAGCCAGAAGTGGTGGTGTGGCTCAGGTGGTAGAGTGCTAGCCTTGAGCTGAAGAGCTGAGGGAAGGCCTAGAGTTCAAGCCCCATGACAGACAAAACAACAACAAAAAAACCCATACATTTTAGTTCACATGGTTTACTTTGTAGACCCTTGGGTAAAAATGATCTGGAGTATTGTAATTTCCCAAGTGGTGGGACAAGGGACACCCTTAATGTATCCTGAAGAGAAATACCTTGAAGGATTGTTTCTCCAATTTACTGGAGGTCTTTATTTACACTCTCATGTCACTGAATCAGTTTTTTGGTTTCTTGATTTCAGATGTCACAATTAATGATTTTTCTATTGTACTTCAAATGTACATTGGACATATGATCAGAAAATATGCCACAATAATTAATGATCTATTGAGATTATACTTTTCACACCAATGTCTTCTTTGGCTCTTTAGATATTAAGCACATTTTTAAATTCAAGTGGGGGGGGGAGGGGAATCACTTCATTTTTTAAAAAAGCTGAGCACTGATGTCTCCAAACCTGTAATCCTAGCTATTCAGGATGCTGAGATCTGAGGATCATGGTTTGAAGCCAGCTGATTAGGAAGAGATTCTTATCTGTAGTTAACCAGGAAAAGCCACAAGTAGAGTCATAGCTCAAGTGGTAGGCCACTAACATTGTGCAAAAAGTTAAAACCTCTAAGTAAGCAAAAGTCTTTTACATTTGGTTCACTTCTCTTCTGAGTTTTGAAATACAGTAGAACAAAAACAGCATCATGTGTGCTACAAAGTCAAGGAAGGCTGTGATATATGAGACTGAATAATAAGCAGCTATTGGAACTAGGATGGCATTCTTGACAAATAACTCCAAGACTTGGTCTTTTGGTATAACTGTATTTTGACTGACCCAGAGCCTTTGTTCCCAATCATGATGATAAAGTTCTTTGCAAATGTTACATAAAACAGCTTAGTAATATTGTTCTAGGAGCGGCTTTGGAGAGATGTCATCCCCTGTGATCCGGGAGGCAGAGGTGACACGGACGGCACGAAAGCAGAGTGCTCATAAAAGAGTTTTAAGTATCCTTGCATTTTTTTTTATTTTTAAAAAAAAATTTATTTTCTTCAATTAGTTGTACAAAGAAGTTTCCATTCTACAAAACAGTATATGAATACAAGGTGTCTGACATTGTCACCCATCGCTCCTAACCCATCCCTTCTCTCACTTTTTTTTTTAAATTGAGATTAGGTGATTACATAAATTTCACGTTTCACAGTATTGTGAATATTGATACTTAGTTACAGTGACAAACACATTTTAACCTTCACAAGGCAACTTGTCATTATCATGGTCTATAAAGTGTGAATTCTATGAGCTTTGACAATACAATTATTTTTTCCACATCAGGTGATGTTTACCTTTCTTTCCTTTTGCTTAGTGTAAGCTGTTCCCACTTTCCCTCCCATTCCTCCCTTCCCATTGCTATCTTTGGGTTGCTTAGTTCATTTTCATCTATGTCCAGTGCAGCTGATGGGCCCCTTTGTTGTATGTTTTCCCGTTTCCCACTGATTATGTCTTCCTCCTAGCTTCCCTCTGTTGCACGCACATATATATATATATATATATATATACATATATATATATACACACACACACGCGCGCACACACCGTATATGTGGTCAGGAACATGGAGTCATTTAGCAATGATACAACAAAATGAGTGGCAGTCCTTTGTTTCTCAAGTCCTGTTTACTTTGTCATATCTGCTTGCATTTTGGCTTTAGCGTCCACATATCAGGGAGACCATGTGCCATTTGTCTCTTTGCTCTTGGCTTACCTCACTCAAAATGATTTGCTCTAGTTCCATCCATTTCCCTGCAAATGCCATTATTTTGTCCTTTCTAATGGCTGCATAATATTCCATTGTACATAGGTACCACAATTTTTGGTACCACATCCACTCATCAGTACTGGGGCATCTGGGTTGTTTCCATATCTTGGCTATTGTGAATAGTGCTGCAATGAACATGGAAGTGCATGTGTCCTTGTAGATACCTAACAGTGTTATGGTTTAGTCATAGGGGAGGTCTGTATTTAGCTTCTGAGGTACCTCCAGACTGCTTTCCAAAGTGGTTGTATTAGTGTACATGCCCAGCAGCAATGCAGTAGGGTTCCTCTTTCTCCACATCCTCTCCAGCATTTGTCATTGGCTGAATTTAGGATGTGGGCCATTCTGACTGGGGTAAGGTGGTATCTCAGTGTTTTTCTTTGCATTGCCTTTACAGCCAGGGATAAGTATCCTTGCATTTTAAGGTTCACAAGTTTTCAGCATGCTTTGCATTGGTCTTCTTTTTATTAGATATTAAAAATTAGCTATGATGATATTGTAGAAATTGATTTTGTGTACTCCACAGATGATTTTTTTGGTAAATATAATGTTCTCAATGAAATTTAGTGAGGTTAAGATACATTGCTCTGAAAGACAGACATTGTATTTTACAGATTCTATTTTATGTCTACTAAGATTAATCTATATTTTTAAAATTTGAAATCTGATAGAGAACTCTTATGTCAATGTATAGCTATCTAAAACTGACATCTGAAAACTTTAATAATAGAGGGAATTAATTGCTCTTTGCCATAAAATACCTTGCTCTCAAAAAAATGTTTTCACATATTTTGTATTAAAATTAGAGCTAATTCCAACTTTAGCAATCTCTTCTCTGTGTGGAAAACTTTTCTTAACTCTTTCTAAAGTTCGAGCTTCCCAAGATGAAAATTTTGGTAATATTACACCAAGAAGCCAGATCATTCCTCGAACTCCCAGCTCATTTCGACAGCTTTGTAAGGTTTCTTTTATTTTCTTTTTTTGCTTTGATAACATTTAATAATAATAGTTATAATACTATCTAACTTTTATTACGTACATAATTACGTACAGTATTAAAAGCTTTGTTCAGTGCTGTGAACAAAGCACTGTACATCACATAAATATATAGTGATTGTGACATAAGCGTTGTTATCTCTATTTTACTAAAACCAGAAGTGAGACTTGAGGAGTTGAAAGTCAGTATAGTTAATAAGCTCCATTATCTAAATAATGGAACTAAGAATCAAAGAATAGTCTTGACTATATAGCACAAGCCTGCCATCCTGCACGGCCACAGTATGCTTTACAGAACTAGAGTTTGGATGAAGGACCATTAACCTCTATATAATGAAACCTGTTTGTAGTAAAACTTTTCATAATAGACTCAGTAATACCAAAAGTTCAAATTTAGGAAAATAAATTAACTCTTCATATTAAGGAAATGTTATCATTTAGAATATCTATTAAGAATATAAGTAATTGGCTGGGTGCAAGCGGCTCACACCTGTAATCCTAGCTACTCAGGAGGCTGAGATCTGAGGATTGCGCTTGAAAGCCATCCTGGGCAGGAAAGTCCGTGAGACTCTTACCTCCAGTAAACCACGCAGAAAACCAGAAGTGGTGCTGTGGCTCAAGTGGTAGAGCGCTATAGCCTTGAGCTGAAGAACTCAGCCCAGGACCAGAGTTCAAGCCCCATAACCCCCCCACCAAAAAAAAAAAAGACTATAAATAATTGGAAAGTAAGTATTGCTTTGTTTTGATGAATAATGTTTATATACCTGTTTTTTGTTTTTTTGTTGTTCTTGTTTTTTAACTACTTATTTGTAGCTACTCCACTGAACCGAAGCTTACAACGGCATCCAGACATTTCCTGCATTCTTGGAACAGGAGGAAGGTCTCCCCGCCTTACACAGTCTTCTGGGTTTTTGGGCAATCTGTCCATGGTATGTATATCATTAGAGCTAAAACTTTCTCCTTTTTGATATTTTGTCTAAAACTCATTTTGTAATGAAAATTGATATCATAAAAGTAACCAGAACTGGGTGCTGGTGGCTCATGCCTATAATCTTAGCTACTCAGGAGATTGAGATCTGACCATTGTCGTTTGAAGCCAGCCCAGGCAGGAAAGTCCATGAGAACTCTTATTGCCAATTAAGTGCATCACCCCCTCCCCCCCCCCCAAAAATAAATAAATAAATAAATAAAGCCCAGTGGAGCTGTGGCTCAAGTGGTAGAATGCCATCCTTGAGCAAAAAAGCCCAGGGACAGTACTCAGGCCCTTAATTCAAGCTCTAGGACTGGCACAAAAAAAAAAGAAACTAGGTTGTATGGACTGACATAATTGAGTATATATTTGGAAAATTGAAAGCTTTAAGTATCTCTTGCCATGGGCGAAACTGTCAGCAGTTTGGATATAGGGAAAATGTTCTATTCTGCCAGTTTGCTGACCAGATGAAATACACTCAGGAATTGTTTGCTGATAGCTATAAACACAAAGCTGATAGCTTTGAAACACAAAAAGTAGATAGAAGAATATCACAGATAGATGATAGATGAAGAGTATCATAAGGAAGAGAGACACTGTATCTAGGGGATGTCATGGTCAATAGCATCAGAACTGAATTGGTTAAAGTACACTTGTCTGTGTCTGCTGCTGAATAGATTACTTGCTTGTGGAGAAAAACCACAAATACATTTGGTCACAGGTGATATATGTTGTCATATATAGAAGGAGAATTTGACTGAATTTGGGTTTCTTACTCAAAAGAAATTTTTGAGAAACATAGATGACATGTTTTTTATGGTATAGTATTAAGAAGCACAGAAAGAATGTAAAACTGTAATTCCAAATGGCTTTGCGTAGGTATTTAAAATAACCCAATAGAAAAATGAAGTATTGCATCTGAGAAGGAAGCAGAAGAGTTTTTTTAACAGTTGTAGAGTATTATGACACATTTAGTTCTGAATCAAAAGTAGTTCTCTTGACTTTGGCATTGTGCTTTCTTAAGTAAGCACAGAGATTTTTATGCATAAATGAAATTGTCTAAAGTACTTTCTGAAGGGTGGATTTGCCTGTTAAACATTTCTTTGTCCTAGAAAGTTATATTATTTTTTTTCCTGCAGTGCTAGAGTAGAGCCTCATGCTTAGGAAGTAGATGCTCTTACCACTTGAGCCATGCTTCCAGCACCAATTTTTTTTAAATGTAGTATTCATTGGGTTTCTCAAATACATGGAATAGTTCACACACACATACACAAAAGCCTTTAATTTCACTTTTTTTAAAAAACCTTGAGCCTCGACATTTTTTCTAACCTTACTTAGTATTAAGGTATTTTCTTATACAGTGACAACAGCTATCACTTTTCTGTGTTGATTAAGGTAACTAATCTGGATGACAGCAATTGGGCAGCTGCATTCTCATCACAGCGGCTAGGGCTCTTCACAAACATGGAAGCCCACAACATAACGGAGGACGTAAATCTCAGTGCTGTTATGTTACGTGAAGATGACCCTGGAGAAGCTGGTAAGCTGATTGGAGAATTTCTTTATTGAATGATCAATGAAACTATTGCCTACTATTCCTGAATATCATTATAATATATGTCTTTGTCCATTTGGTGGATATAACTTAAATTTATTATTTTTTTCAAAATTGTAGAGACTAAAGCCGGGCGCTGGTGGCTCACGCCTGTAATCCTAGCTACTCAGGAGGCTGAGATCGGAGGATCGCGGTTCAAAGCCAGCCCGGGCAGGAGAGACCGTGAGACTCCTATCTCCAATAAACCACCAGAAAACTGGAAGTGGCGCTGTAGCTCAAGTGGTAGAGCGTTCACCTTGAGCTGAAGAGCTGAGGGACAGTGCCCAGGCCCAGAGTTCAAGCCCCACGGCCGACAAAAAAAAAAACAAAAACAAAAAATTGTAGAGACTAAACCAGGTGCTGGTGGGTCACACCTATAATCCTAGCTACTGAGGAGACTGAGATCTGAGGATCACGGTTCAAAGCCAACCCAGACAGGAAAGTTCGTGAGACTTGTATCTCCAATAAACCACTCAGAAAACCGGAAGTGGCCCTGTGGTTCAAGTGGTAGAGTGCTAGCCTTGAGCTGAAGAGCTCAGGGACAGTACCCAGGCCCAGAGTTCAAGACCCATGACTGACCAAAAAAAAAAAAAATTGTAGAGACTAGAAGTCTGAGATAAAAGTATTGGTAAGGTTAGTCCTTTAAGGCCTGTCTCCTCCCTGACTTGAATATCACCATTTTCCATAACTTTCCTCCCTCTGTATTTGTCATTTTGGTGATTAGTTATGGTCTTGGCTGCCTCTAGAAAATTGAGAGCCATGACTTAGTTCTTAGTTCTTAGTTGGAATAGTATCTTGCCATTTGATCTTTTAGTATAAATAGCAGTAGGTTAGAATATTAGGTCTAATTTTTAATTCCTATTTGATCGGTTTAAAGAGCTTCTCTTTCTCTTTAGGTTTAATAGTAATCTCATACTGTTGATGTGAATTGTTTGTGTTGTTTGGTATGGGCACTAATTACTGTTTTTTCAGATAGTATTGTGACCTTGCTAGCTTCAGACTGGTTAGTATCATTCCCTCACAAAAACACTGTCTTTTTAGTGTCTGTACCTACAACTATTACATAGACTCTTCGTTATATTATCATCAACATAAACTCATTTGGATTGGATGAGTTGTAGGGTGCAAGTATCTTTCTGTGGTTCATTAGTTACAATACTTATTTCCATCAAAGGAAAGGAAACTGCTGCTCAAAGACATTAATTTGCTTGCTTAATGTTTCCTGGCTAGTTAGCCAGTTGAGATGACTTAGGCTGAAACCCCAGCTACTTAGGAAGCCAAGATAGAAGGATTATAGTTTGAGGCCAACCCAGGCCAAAAACAGAAAGACCGTATCACAAAGAACAAACTAGGCATAGCTATACATGGTTAAATTTCCAGCAACACAAGAGGTAGTGGTAGGAGGATCATAGTGTAAGGCCAGCCTCTGACAAAAGTGAAAGGTACAGAAAAAAAAGAGCAATTCTTTTCAGTGGTTGTGTGCTGTTGCTATGAATGTACAATTGAGAAAATTTCAGCAGTTGTGGAAAACAGTATGTAAATTTCTCAAAAAAATATAAATAAGATTAGCATATGGGGTTGGAGGTATGGCTCAGTTGGTAGAGAGTGCCAACCAAGGGCTGGGAAGGTGGCTCAGTGGTAGAGTGCTTGCCTTGCACGCCTGAGGCCCTGGGTTCGATTCCTCAGCACCACATAAGCAAAAAAGAAAAAAGCCGGAAGTGGCGCTGTGGCTCAAGTGGTAGAGTGCTAGCCTTGAGCTGAAGAGCTGAGGGACAGTGTCCAGGCTCAGAGTTCAGGCCCCATGACTGGACCAAAAAAAAAGAGTGCCAACCAATGAGCAAAATTGTCAGGAACCAAGTCTGAGTCCTAGTCTTAGATCTTAGATTAATATATTAATATATGATCCAGGAACTCCACTCCTGTCTATTCCTGGCTATATACCCTAAAGAATTGTAAACAGAGCCTCAAAAAAATGTTTGTATACTCATGTACAGCAGCGTTATTCATGGCAGCCAAACAGTAGCAGCAACCTAGTGTCCTAGGGATGGATGAGTGGAAAAAACTGGTATATATATTAGTAGAATATCATTCAGCCAAGAAAGGACATTCTTATATAAAGTTACAATATGGATGAGACTTTAAAATATAGTCAGGAATCACAAAAAGACTGTATTATTGTGCTTATATGGAATACTTTGTCAAGCAAGCTTATAGACACAAAATAGGATACTTGCCACAGGATGGGAGAAGTACAAGATAGGGAATTACTGTTTAATAGGTTCTGAAGATGGATGTTGGTGATAAAAAGAACAAAATATGAATATACTTAGTGCAGTTAAATGGTATGCTCAACAGTGGTTCAGATGATAAATTTTGTGTTTAATTTTTTTAATGCATGTATGAGTTAATTCAGCATAGAAGGTAGCATGTCACTCTCTTAAAATACATGTCTGAATAAAAAACTTGTATTTGTGTTTTCAAACAAACAGAATTGCTTATAAGTAACATAATTTTTCTATGTCCCTTTCCTTTCCTATGTCTCAGCATCCATGAGCATGTTTTCTGACTTCCTGCAGTCCTTTTTGAAGCACTCTTCAACTACAGTTTTTGACCTTGTAGAAGAGTATGAAAATATTTGTTGTAGTCAGGTAAGGCATTTGCATTATACATTATTGGCCAAACTTCAGTACTTTTAGTATTTTTTTTTTTTGGTCACGTGGCTTGAACTCTAGGCTTGGGTGCTGTCCTTGTGCTCTTCAGCTCAAGGCGAGTACTCTACTGCTTGAGCCACAGCGCCACTTCCAGTTTTCTAGTGGTTTAATGGAGGTAAGAGTCTCCCAGACTTTCCTGCCCAGGCTGTCTTTGAACCACGATCCTCAGATCTCAGCCTCCTGAATAGCTAGGATTACAGGTGTGAGCCACGGGCGCCAGCTCCTTTTAGTATTTTTTGAATAGCATTAGCCTACTAATTTCCAGACTGTGTTTAAGAGAGATCTCTTAGGGATGCTAGTGGTAGGAAGATCAATCAGAACACCTAAGCTTTTCATGTCCTGAGGATCATATAAGATTCCTTTGGAGAAGAAATCTGGTGTAAAAGAGAAAAATTTAAATACATAAAGAACTCTTAAAACTTAACAGTATTTTTTGACTACCTGTTGGCCTATAAAAGATCATGGTTTGAAACTACCACAGCAGGGCTGGGGAGGTGGCTCAGTGGTAGAGAGCTTGCCTTGCATGCCTGAAGCCCTGGGTTCGATTCCTCAGCACCACATAAGCAAAAAGAAAAAAGCCAGAAGTGACGCTGTGGCTCAAGTGGTAGAGCACTAGCCTTGAGCTGAAGAGCTGAGGGACAGCGCCCAGGCCCAGAGTTCAGACCCCACGACCGGACCCCCCCAAAAAAAACCACCACAGCAAAAAAGTTAATGAGACCTCTTCTTAAGCCCTAGCTGAAAACAATGAGCTGTACCTGTCATCCTAACTATGTGGGAGGCTGAGATTGAGAGGATAAAGATACCAGGCTAAACAGGGCAGAAAAGTCCATGAGACTGGTTCCCATAAAAGAAAGCTGGATGCTGTAGCATATGCCTGTGATTCCAATGATGATAGGAAGCTTATAGTAGGCAGATCGCAGCTCAGGCACATGCCAGGCAGGAAGCAAGAGCCTAGCCTAAATATAACCAGTAAGAAATAAGTAAATAAAGGGCTGGAGGCATTACTTAACTGTAGTACACCAGCCTAGCAAGTGAAAGGCCCTGAGTTCAAACATAAGCACCAACAAACAAATGAAAACTTGGATGTAACCAAAATGTTATTTTGTTGGTGGATGAATAACATGAAGTACTCCAGAAAGTGAAATATTTGGTGCTTGGGAAAAAATGAGCTAACAAGCTGTGAAAAGACAGAAATGCTGGGTGCCAGTGGCTCATACCTGTAATCCTAGCTACTCATAGCTACTCAGGAGGCTGAGATCTGAGGATCACGGTTCAAAGCCAGCCTGGGTAGGAAAGTCTGTGAGACTCTTATCTCCAGTTAACCACCAAAAAAACAGAACTGGCACTGTGGCTCAAGTGGTAGAGCACTCACTTTGAGCTGAAGAGCTCAGGGATAGTGCCCGGTCCAGAGTTCAAGCCCTACAATCAACCGGAAAAAAAAAAGAAATGATCCTTAAATACATATTGATAAATGAGAGAAGCCAATCAGAAAAGATATGTCTTCCAGTATATGACATTCTAAAACTAGGGTGATAGTGAAAAGATTGATAATTGCTAGGGGTTAGTGAAAAAAGAAGGATTGATTGGTGGAGCACTGAGGATTGAGGAGTTAAGGAAGTAAAACTTCTGATTCTCTTGTAGTAGATACACACCATTCTCTTTGTCGCTACAAACCCTTTAGCACCTTACAGATAAAAATCAAAGAAACCAATTTTGTCTTTTCACATCAGTGTTTTTATTTTAGGTGAATATATTGAGTAAAATAGTAAGCCGAGCAGCTCCTGGACTGCAGAAGTTTTCAATAACAGCCAGTATGCTCTGGCTTCTTCAACAGGAGATGGTCACATGGAGGCTGCTAGCTTCTTTGTATAGGTAAAGTATAGAAATGAAACATAAGTAACAGATTAATAGGCAAATTAATTTAAAAGTTAGGATATGATGTGTTTGGTAGAGTTTGCTCATGTTGAAGATCATTATTTAGAATAGTTGAGTTGTGAAGAATTAAGTTACTAGAGAAGAGGCTATAATCTTATAAAGCTAGTAATTACCAAAAATTGGATATGTAGCTGGACATAGTACTACCTGCCTATAACCCCAAAAGGTGGGGGGCTAAGGCAGAATGATCTCAAGTTCAAGGGCTAATAACAAGAGCCTATCTTTAAAAAAAAAAAAGTATAAATAAAAATTTAAGGAAAGTGCTAAAAATAATAGCATTGCTTAGGAGAGGATAGCAATTTAAAAAATGAACCTCAAAGTCTGACTTTGTGTAACAAAAGTTTGAAAGAAGTTAACTTACCAGGTATGTTGGTGCATGCTTATAATCTCAACTACTTAGAAGGCAGAAAGAGGTAAGAAAAATCATTGCAAGTCCAATGATTCTCAGTAACAGCCTGAGCAAAATTAGTAAGACTGTATCTCAAAACCAAAATATAAAACAAATGGGCTCAGGATGTAGCTCAAATTGTAGGGCCCTGTGTGAAGCACTGGATTCAATCCCAAGTACCACTACCACCTACAAAAAAAAAAATCTACCAGAGTTGTCTGTCAGATCACAGTGGTTTTGATTCATACTCTTGCTCAAGCTAATGAAAAAAATATTGAAAGAAAGTCATATTTTTTGCTAAATGAAAATGCATGAAAAGATACATGCATTAACAAGTATCTGTTAAAAACCTTGCAGTGTATATTTTTAGTATATTCCAGTTGTGTTGTCAATTAGCAGGTATTTACTACTTGTGTCTTATATATATAAAGTGTAATGATGTATGAGTATAGATCCACAGGTTCCTTGTTTAAAGTAAAGTTCTGAAACCTCAAGTAGGAAGTATTTGGTGAATGTAAAAACAAACCTGATGGGCTGGGAAGGTGGCTCAGTGGTAGAGGGCTTGCCTCACATGCATGAGGCCCTGGATTCAATTCCTCAGCAGGACATAAACAGAAAAAGCCGAAAGTAGCACTGTGGTTCAAGTGGTAGAGCACTAGCCTTGAGCTGAAGAGCTGAGGGACAGTCCCCAGGCCCAGAGTTCAAACTCCACGACCAACCAAAAAAAAAAAAACAAAACTTGTTAAACTTATGATTAACTAGACTACGAATACAAATTTCATATGCAAATATCAAACTCAATATTATAATAATTGCATTATCATATAGATTTAAAATCATTTTATTCCTACAAAAATATTGCTGGGTTTGTTATCAGATTTATGTCAGACTATTTGTGGTAAATTGATACCTCTTGTATCACATTTTCAAAATATGAAGTTATTTAGATTATTTTTATTTTATTTTATTTTATTTATTTATTTTTTTTGGGGGGGGGGGGGTCCGGTCGTGGGTCCTGAACTCTGGGCCTGGGTGCTGTCCCTCAGCTCTTCAGCTCAAGGCTAGCACTCTACCACTTGAGCCATAGGGCCACTTCCGGCTTTTTTCTTTTTGCTTATGTGGTGCTGAGGAATCGAACCCAGGGCTTCAGGCATGCAAGGCAAGCGCTCTACCACTGAGCCAACTTCCCAGCCCTAGATTATTTTTAAATAGAAAGTCCTCAGCATATTCTGTATATTATTATTTCAAAATTCATTGCTGTTTATCTATTACAGTAATGTAGAAATAAAAATTATTTCTATATAGTAAAATTAAAATTAATTAGAAACTCGTTTTTTAGGCCAGATGAAAATGTAGATTTCAGTATGCAGTAGCTTTTTATGTATGCAGTAAGGCTTTTTAATTTTTATTGTTTTTCCACAGAGATAGAATACAGTCTTCCTTAGAAGATGAAAATATGTTTGCAGTTACTGTAAGTTTTGTGTTAATATTTTCCTTTATAGATGCTTAAAAACTAGACAGTTTTACTAGACAGTAAAACTTGATATTTCACACTCCATCTTAAGTTTCTACATTTAAAAAAATTTCACAAGTACATAAAAGATACAATCTTACAAACACTGATTTAGAGTACTTGAGAGATAGGTGACATCTTTTTATATCCCTCTGATTATTTAGCATAACACTTTGGCCTGTATCTTAACCATACATTTTTCCATATATCTATATATACATATGCTTGCAGTGTTCTATAAAATTCTCAGTGCATTTTTCCATGAATGAATTTTCTATTTTCTAATCAATTATTACTAGAATAAAGTTTTTTTGTTTCTAATTTGCTAAGAGTTGGAATAAGTATTGAATGCAATGTTCTTTTTTAGTTTCTATGTATATCTTTTAATTTGCTAATGTAATGGCTTGTTATTTCAAATAGAATAAACTCATGTATTCCTAAATATACCACTAAATTTTATTAGCCAGTATGTTATTTAGGACTTTCGTAAATATGTATGTATTTTCTTTGTTGTTGTTTTGTTATTTGTTTTAGTTTTGCTTTGTAATTTTTCCTCATATACTCTTAGTATCTAAGGTTGTACTGGCTCTGAAGAACAAGTTTAGAAATCTCCATCTTTTTTTGTATTTTGTTGAAGAATGTGAGATTTACTTGCCCTGTCAAGTCTTCATAAAAATATGCCCATAAAAACAATCAAAATCAGATAGGTGCCTTTGGGGGCTCATTTATTTATTTTTTGCTATTAAGTAGTTGTACAAATAGATTACAGTTCGTTAAGTCAGGTTATAAGTACAGTGTGTCTAGATGAATTTCCCCCTTTCTTTCATTCGCCCTCATTTTCCCCCTTTTATCTCTACCCTCAATTTTTATTTTTTCTAATTTCAAAAGTAGTTCATGTTTAAAACAATATAGAGCCCAAAAAGAAAAAATAAATATTTCTATGTATTTTATTTAGCATATATTAGTTGTACAAGGAGGGTTTCATTGTGACATTTCATTGTGTACACATGTGAACTCCATCCAGATCAAACTTACCCCCTCTATCACTCTCCTCATTTCACTTCTTAAAACAACTTCAACAAGTTTCATTGTTCTATTTTTATACAAGAAAATAAGCCACAAAAACCATATAAGGTATATTATAGTTTTGGGGGTTTCCCACTTATTTGGTGTTTATTTTTCTCTAAAACATCATCTCTGGGGAAATAACATTTTTTAAAGTAATTTTTATTGAGATTAAGTGATTACATAAATTTCACAAATTTCACAGTATTATGAGGTAATGATACTTAAAGTCAAATACATTTTAACCTTTACAAGGCAAATTGTCATTATCATGGTCTATAATATTTGTGAATTCTATGAGCTTTGACAGTACAGCTGTTTCTTCCACATCGGGTGATATGTGCATTTATTTCCTTTTGGTTAGTGTCAGCTGTTCCCTCTTTCCCTCTCATTCCCTCTGTCCCGTCGCTGCCCTTGAGTTGCTTGGTTTGTTTTCATCCATGTCCAGTGCAGCTGATGGGCCCCTCTGTTGTATATTTTCCCGTTTCCCTCTGATTCAGTGTCCTCCTCCTCCTAGCTTCCCTCAGATGTACACATAGAAATAGCAGTTTTTTTAATCCAAGTATAACAAATTGCCAGTTAATAATAATAAAATCAAATCGGAACAGCTTCAAATTATGGTAAAAGCTTGAGTTTTATTTTAAAATGTTTCCAAGGATAAATACACATATTTGCTATGTATTTATGCATAAATAAATACACTTGAAATTAGCTTTTCCCTTTCTGCTGAAATAACATTCTTGGATCTTCTTTCCTTATCTCCTTCCTTTAAATTTACAACAGGCTGTTAACGCCAGTGAGAAAACAGTTGTGGAAGCATTGTTTCAGAGAGATTCCCTTGTGCGACAAAGTCAGGTATTATTAAATGTTTTACTATTTTGTAAGAAACATGGAGAAAGGGTGAATAGCATAAAGTACTGAAGACAATTTAATTTAAAACTTTTTCTGGGGACTGGGAAGGTGGCTCAGTGGTAGAGCGCTTGCCTTGCATGCCCGGAGGCCCTGGGTTCGATTCCTCAGCCACATAAGCAAAAAGAAAAATGCCGGAAATGGCGCTGTGGCTCAAGTGATAGAGCACTAGCCTTGAGCTGAAGAGCTAAGGGACAGCACCCAGGCCCAGAGTTCAGGCCCCACGACCGGACCCCAAAAAAAAAAAAAAACTATTTCTGGAAGTGGCACTGTGGCTCAAGTGGTAGAGCACTCACCTTGAGCTGAAGAGCTCAGGGACAGCTCCCAGGCCCAGAGTTCAAGCCCCATGACTACCAAAAAAAATATACATATATAATAAAACTTTTTCTGTCTAGCTGGTGTTTTCATTTGTAATTAAAAGGAATTTGGAATCCTGTTGGGTTTGTTTTTTTTTCTTTGCTTTTGTTTCGTTTTGTTATAAATAACGGTTCTAGTATTTCCAGGAATAATTTAACAACTGCATTATTTCTGTAGAAAATTTTATTCTTTTTCCAAAACTGTTATTTGCATTTTTGTAATCAAACGTGTTTGTGTGTGTGTGTGTGTGTGTGTGTGTGTAAGAACTGGGGCTTGAACTCTTTTTTTTTTTTTTTTTTTTTTTTTTTTGTTGGTCTTGGGGCTTGAACTCTGGGCCTGAGCACTGTCCCTCAGCTCTTCAGCTCAAGGCGAGTGCTCTACCACTTCAGCTACAATGCCACTTCTGGTTTTCTGGTGGTTTATTGGAGATAAGAGTTTTGCAGACTTTCCTGCCCAGGCTGGCTTTGAACCGCAATCCTCAGATCTCAGCCTCCTGAGTAGCTAGGATTACAGGTGTGAGCCACCAGCGCCTGGCTGGGGCTTGAAGTCTTGCTTAGCTTTTTCACTTAACGCTTTCACTCTACCACTTCAGCCATACCTCCACTTCCATACTTTTGCTGGTTAACTAGAGCTAAGAGTCTCTCAGATTTGTCTGCCTGGGTTGGCTTTGAACCATGATCCTCAGATTTCAATCTTCTGTGTAAAACACACATAGATTTTATAGTAATTCTAATCTTTTTCTTTTTTCCTAGCTGGTGGTGGATTGGTTGGAGAGTATTGCCAAAGATGAAATTGGAGATTTTTCTGATAATATTGAATTTTATGCAAAATCAGTATATTGGTATGTGACTAGCTTTTATTCTTCAATCCATTTATATTTATTCATAATGCTCTTACTTTGTTCAGTTTTGAGCAAATGAAGCTCTACCTTTTATTTATAATTATTTAGGAGAGATAAATAGCAAATAAATGTATCCTTCTGTAATTAAGAGTTTTGCAAAGAACATGAACTAGAATTAATGAGAAGAGGATGACAGTCCTATTTTTATTAGAAGCAGTGGTCAGGAAGAGTGTATAAAGTAACAAATAGAAGCATTTTTTGTTTGTTTGTTTTGTTTTGTTTTTGTCGGTCATGGGGCATGAACTCAGGGCCCGGGTGCTGTCCCTAAGCTCCTTCTCTCAAGGCTAGAGCTCTACCACTTCAAACCACAACTCTGTTTGCTATTTTCTGTTGGCTAATTGGAGATAAATGTCTCATGTACTTTCCTAACTAGGCTGGCTTTGAACTACAATCCTCAGATCTCAGTATCCTGAGTAGCTAGTATTACAGGCATGAGCCACCAGCACTGAACTTGTGTTTGGTTTGTTGTTGTTGTTTTGGTTTTTGTTTCTTGGTCGGTCGTGGTCGTGAAGCTTGAACTCGGCTTGGGTGCTGTCCCTGAACTCTTCAGGTCAAGGCAAGCACTCTATACTACTTGAGCCACAGTGCCATTCCAGTTTTCTGGTGGTTTATTGGAGATAAGAGTCTCATGAACAGTGATCCTCAAATCTCAGCCTCTTGAGTAGCTAGGATTACAGGTGTGAGCCACCGGCAACTGCTTGTGTTTGTTTTTGAGATAGGGAATCTTGAGAACTTTCCCTAGACTGTCCTCAAACTTAAGATCTTCCTTCCTTCATCTGTAGGAGGCTTTTAAGAAATAAAGGAGACCAGGTGCCAGTTGCTCATGCCTATAGTCCTAGCTACTCGGGAGGGAGTCCTAAATGTACACATAGAAAGAGACTTTGTGCTGAGCACCAGTGGCTCACGCCTGTAATCCTAGCTACTCAGGAGGCTGAGATCTGAGGATCACTGTTCAAAGCCAGCCCAAGCAGGAAAGTCCATGAGACTCTTGTCTCCAACAAACCACCAGAAAACTGGAATGGCACTGTGGCTCAAGTGGTAGAGTGCTTGCCTTGAACTGAAGAGCTGAGGGACAGCGCTCAGGCCCAGAGTTCAAGGCCCATGACTGACGAAAAGAAAAGGAAGGAAGGAAGGAGAAGAGAACTTTGTAACTCAAGGATAAGTAAGTATTTCTTAGGAAATAACAATAACCATGGAAAAAATCAAAAATCAAAATTGAAAACTCCTATGAAAAGACATCGTTAATAAAACAGTTGGAGCCAGCCACAGACTGATAGAAACATAGAGAACATGTAGTTAATAAAGACCTACAGCTTCATAATAGAAAGATAGCCCAATTTAAAAAAAAAAAAAAAGAGCAGGCTTAAGAGGTGAATGACATGAAAGAAATCATTTAAAAGACATGAGGGCTGGGAAGGTGGCTCAGTGGTAGAGTGCTTGCCTCTCATGCATGAGGCCTGGGTTTGATTCCTCAGCACCACATAAGCAGAAAAGGCTGGAAGTGGCGCTATGGCTTTACTGGTAGAACGCTCACCTTGAGCTGAAGAGCTGAGGGACATGCCCCATGACTGGCAAAAAAAAACAAATCATGAAAAAATCATTTAGCCTCATTAGGTAGGTACATTATGATGACTATATTAAAATTCTTTTTCATGCTTTTTTTCCCTATATTTGTTGTGTTTAGCTTTGTCTGTTTTGTTTTTTGTTTGTTTTTTTTCTTTGGATAGGTCTATTTAAATTGCCCCTTTAAAAATTGGTATTTTTTCTTTCAGGGAAAATACTCTCCATACCTTAAAACAACGACAGCTGCCTTCTTATATAGGAAGTGTTCGTCCTCTTGTCACTGAATTAGTAAGTGTTCTTTGAAATGAAGTTCGGGTCTTTTTTTTTTGGTCAGTTGTGGGGTTTGAACTCTGGGCCTAGACACTATCCCTCAGCTCTTCAGCTCAAGGTGAGCACTCTACCACTTGAGCCGCAGCTCCATTTCCGGGTTTTTGCTGGTGGCTAGTTGGAGATAAGAGTCTCGTGGAAGGTGGAAGCTGGGACTGGTGACTCATGCCTATAATCCTAGCTACTCAGGAGGCTGAGATCTGAGTATCACTGTTCAAAGCCAGCCCAAGCAGGAAAGTCCATGAGACTCTTATCTCCAATAAACCACTAGAAAACCAGAAGTGGTGCTGTAGCTCAAGCAGTAGAGCGCTCACCTTGAGCTGAAGAGCTGAACAGCACCCAGGCCCAGAGTTCAAGCCCTATGACAGGGGGAAAAAAAAAGAGTCTCATGGACTTTCCTGCCTGGGCTGGCTTTGAACCATGATCCTCAGATCTCAGCCTCCTGAGTAGCTAGGATTACAGGAGTGAGCCACCAGTGCCTGACTAGCTTGGGTCTTTTGAACAATGTGTTTTTGTTTTTTGTGGTGCTGGGGGCTTCCCCAGGACTTTGTGTATGTTAGATAAACTCTACTTTTGAGCTACATCCTCAGGCCCCTTTATTACATTGTACTTGGCATTTATCTCTCTTCCCATGTGTTGTCAAAAAACACCTACTAGATTTACAAAACAGATTCTTTTAGTTCTTTTTTCCATGTTCATCCACAATCTAGACCTAATTCCACTTAGGTGCTCTGACAGAGTAAACCTCATGACCTTTTGGAGTAGGCTACTGGTACCCTTACTTGACCTAATATGCCATTGTGGAGAAGACTTAATAAGAAGACTTATAAATGGGACAGCAGATAATGACATGACTATTTGGAATACATTGTAACACTTTCATTCCCTAGAGTTATCATGTTATGATTTTAAATATGCCTAAGAGTACAGATGGGGGTGTAGCATAGTGTGTTAGCATGCTTGTACTATTTCTTACATTTCACCAGTACTGCATAAACAAAAGATTTATAGTTAACAATGAGTTGGTTGTTTTGATTTTTTTCACAGGATCCTGATGCTCCCATTAGACAGAAAATGCCACTTGATGATCTGGACAGAGAAGATGAAGTTAGATTACTCAAATATCTTTTTACTCTTATCCGTGCTGGAATGACAGAAGAGGTGAATTGTGCAGTACCTTGCTTGTCCCATTTCAAAAAGCCACAGACTCTTGAATTTAGAAGACACCTTTGTGGCCACATAATACGCTTCTTCAGTGCAGCAATTCTGTTCACAATGTCATCAGTGAATATGTGTAGTGATATACACGTTTAGAGAGCAATGCCATAACTTGCACAACACTGATTATTAGAAAATCCATAAGTCAAACTTTGCATACTCTCCATGCATCCTCATTATTTCTACATTTGTGTGTGTGTGTGTGTGTGTGTGTGTGTGTGTGTGTGTGTGTGTGTGTGTGTGTGTGTGTGTGTGTGTGTGTGTGTGTGTGTGTGTGTGTGTGTGTGTGTATGCACACACGCTAAGTTCTGGATCTTGAACTTTGAACTCAGGGCCTGGAGGCTATCCCTGAGCTTTTTTTGCTAAAGGCTAGCATTCTACCACTTGAGCCATAGCTCCACTTCCAATTTTTTGGTTGTTAATTAGAAATAAGAGGCTCATGAGCTTTCCTGCTTGGGCTGGCTTTGAACTGTGATCCTCAGATCTCATTCTCCTGATTAGTTACAATTTCAGGCATGAGAATCGGCATCTGGCTTCTATTTTTTATTTTTAAGAGTTCACACTCAAATTTTCTTTATGGTCATATTAAACATAAGAAATTTGATCAGTAGACTAAGCAATCACTCCCATGTCATTATAGGGCCTTTTCGAAATACTGTTAAAATAAATTAAGGTTTATGAAGCCCGTTTGTGTCTCATAGAATTAAATACCATTGGTTCTTACAGAACCTATGAGTAAACCCAAAATCAAAAAGAAAGGGAATTACTAAAAAAGTAAAAATAAAGTCAGAGACCACAGAAAGATAGCTTGGTAAAGTAGATTGCCATTGTTAATTGCCTACATCATTCTCTGTGTCAAGTGAACTGTTGAATATTGGCTATATATAATCACTGGTGATGTCACTAATGGTTCTTCTGTCAAGGCTCAACGGCTTTGTAAGCGTTGTGGTCAAGCATGGAGAGCTGCAACACTAGAAGGCTGGAAACTCTATCATGACCCTAATGTTAATGGAGGTATGTAATAGATTTTATTCTCCATATTATAAAGGTAGGTAGCTCTAAATGCCATTCTTTGTGAACTGTAACTTTCCTTTTTTTTAGAAGTGATTGAAATAAGATCTCATTTTAAACCATAAATTCTTCACTGCTTTATAGGAACAGAATTAGAAACTGTTGAAGGAAATCCATATAGACGCATTTGGAAAATTAGTTGTTGGAGAATGGCAGAAGAGGTAAGAAAAAGTATTTATGAATACTGAATTTTTTCCCCCCAGTTTTGGGACTTGAACCCAGGGCCTGGGCTCTGTCCCTGAGCTGCTTTTGCCCAAGGCTAGCATTCTACCCCTTGAGCAACAGCGCCACTTCTGGCTTTTTCCGTTTATGTGGTACTGAGGAATTGAACCCAGGGCTTCATGCATGCTAGGCAAGCACTAAGCCACATTCCCAGCCCCTAATACTGAATTTTTACCCCAACTTAATTGAAAAGCCAGCTGAGCAGCTGTGAAATGTTTGGTGTGACATGAAACTACAGTTAGTTTTCAAAGAAGTTCTTGGAAAATTGAGGAATAGGCTTGGCTGCTTACCAAGTTATTCCGACACCAAGTACTAAAGAATTAAACATTGAAATAAGGAAAAAATATGAAGGAGGTACCAAATGATTCTAGAGAAAAAGCACAGGCTAAAGCTTGAAACCAACTTTCAAGGGAAAACATCTGTGTTGAACTTTTATAAGTCATTAGAATTTGGGATGTTGGGATGAAAACGTGAAAGAGTTCTAGGTAAAATGAGTAAGTTGGGAAACTCTAGGAACAGTAGTTCTACAAGCTTAGAATAGAAGGCTCATAAAAGGAAATATAGTCAGTTATGTCAGAATACAGTATTTGCATTCCTAAAATTCACTGCAACATGCAAAAAAAAAACTATCAGGGTTTGTGAGAAAATGGAGTGCAGAAAACAAAAACTTTCACTAGTAATACATTAAAAGGTAAGTCAATAATGTTAGCATACTTTTATATCTGTCAAATAGTTGAGTAAATACATAAATGATAGTACATTAAGTTTAGCACTTCAACTTGAAAAGACCTGGAATTTACTTATTATCAGAGTGTGACAGACCCTTGAAATGTTTCAAGAAGAGTAGCATGGCAGTGAACAATAGAGATGAAAGGACTAATGGCTGAGAAAGTAATTATCAAAATTACTGTAAACATTACACAACAATAAAGACTAAAGGCCTGGCCCTGGATAGTATTGATGAGGATGAGAAGGAAGGGAGCAGGAGGGTTAGAACTAGGGCAAAGTAGGCTAGTTACAGGAGTCTCCTGAACTCTTGTTTGTATGACAAAAGCCTAGAAATGCCATTAACAGAACCCTAAAAGTTAAATGGAATATCTGCTGAATATAATTCTGCTTAGGAATCAGATGCAGGCCTTGTTTTGATGTTGTTTCTAGGGCAGTTTGAGTGAAGTATCAGATGCTTAAAAACCTCCTAGGAGAAAACATCTGTACAAGTTCTACCTGGAATAAAATTGGATTATAAATGAACAAAACATCCATTGGATTTCGTTATGGTTTCACCCTTTGTTTTAAATTTAAATGTTTGACTCTTCCATAGATTTTTGTTACTTCATTAGACTAAGAAATCCTTAATATTACTCCAGTGTATCTTTCAATAAAATAGAAACTATCAAAGGACTAGGTTCAATCTGGAAGAAACTACACAATTCCAGCTTATGAAGAAATAAGCATAATGGAAAATGGATGGGAAGGGAAGGAGAAGGGGAAACAAAGGAGGAGGCAACAATGCTTGATAAGAAATGTACTCATTACTTTGCCCAAATAATTGTAACCCCTCTGTACAGTATTTCACAATAAAATAAATAAAAATTAAAAAAATAAAGAAATAAGCATACTAAGATTAACCCATTATTTCATATATACTTACATTCTTTTATTTCAGGAGCTTTTTAATAGATATGAAAGAGCAATTTATGCAGCTTTAAGTGGGAATCTGAAGCAGGTATGCAATCTTCATTTTTTTACAGAATAAAGTAGATATTTAAGTTTTAATGAAGTATTAAACATTAAAAACCTACATCCTCTAGAAATAGCAAACTAGAAATAATCATAAAATAGAAAAGTGACAAAATGCCTAGCTTGATGTATCCCATATTTGGCCAGTTTTGGTTTGGGAGGATTTTTAGGTTTTGATTACTTTGGTTTTGTTGTTTGTGTCTTAGAAGGTGGTGGGGTGGGCAGGGGTGAAGTAGGGTTTTGCTATGTAGCTCAGACTGGCCTCAAAACTCTCAGTCCTGCCTCAGACTCCCCAGTGCTACCATATCCTGCTTTGTATATTTTAATGAGTGAAATCAGACTTGGCTTTCTAATTTAAAATGTCAGTATAATTGTGATATCCATTTATAAATAATTCCTAATACTCAAACTATATCCGTAGATGGACCAATAAGACAGTGATTGCCTGGGTAGTCATATGTATCTGTCTTTCTCACAGTTTCCATTGTCATCTACATTTTTTTTTTTTCTGTCTGTAGTAGGGCTTGAACTCTGGGCCTGGGCACTGTCCCTCAGCTCTTCCGCTCAAGGCGAGTGCTCTACTACTTGAGCCACAGCACCACTTCTGGTTTTCTGGTGGTTAATTGGATATAAGAATCTCACAAACTTTCCTGCCTGGGCTGGCTTTGAACTGTGATTCTCAGATCTCAGCCTCCTGAGTAGCTAGGATTACAGGCACGAGCCACTGGCACCTGGCTGCCCTCTACTTTTTATAACTATTTTGAGGAATACTATATTAATTGAAATATTCAAAATTGATGCGGTTGTAAATTCGATATGGAAAAGAAAAACTTAGTTCAAACTTCTTAAAGGCCTAGTTGGAGAATAAAAATGGAATATTCTAAAGTGGCTTTACAATACATATGAATGGGTATAGTTGCTTTTCTTTTCCTTTTTGTTGAAAATGTCTGTCTTGTTTCTTTTGGGGAATGGGAATAGCTTCTTCCTGTCTGTGACACCTGGGAAGACACAGTCTGGGCATACTTCCGGGTGATGGTGGACAGTCTGGTGGAACAGGAGATCCGGACGTCAGTAATGACTCTGGAGGAAACTGAAGAACTTCCTAGGGAATATTTAGAAGCAAAGTGAGTGTGTTGCTCTGATATTGGTTACAATGGTTTATAGTATACTCTTTGAAGTTTGTATTACCTCCCTTTCATATTATTGACATTATTCTATCTCTCCTGATTTTCTCTTTTGAAGTTGGACCTTAGAAAAAGTTTTTGAAGAACTTCAAGCTACAGATAAAACGGTAAATGTTAGCACCTGTGGAATATGAAATAAATGATATTAACTTACTGTAAATGCTGTTACTGCTGTGTGGGCTAGCTGAAAGGAAAAATGATAAGGAGTTTTGTTGCCAATTACTAAAGTAAGAGAAATTCTTTAAAAGAAAAAATTATGTATATGAGCTGTGACTTTTGATTCAATTAATCAGTTTATAATTAAGTAAAACAGCATTCCTAAAAATTATTTAAATAAAGTAATGCTGTATTATTTTTAACAATAAAAATCAAGCAGTTATATCTGTAAAACCTATGTAACTTCCCACCAAGTCCCTTGAAAGTTACTTGGCTAAGATGACAAAACATCCTGACATATTCTTTCATATTTTTCTACTTGATCTTTCAAATAAATATAAGTAATAGAACTATCTTAATGTAGTATTCGGGGATTTTCTTATTTTTTGTATCACATTACAACCTGATTGTTTTCATTAATGATAATCTGTCTGACTTAGATGTTCTATATTAACATTCTTTTTAATAGATTAAGTAATGTTGTATACAGTAGAGTATACTTTTTTTTTGTCAGTTGTGGAGCCTGAACTCTGGGCCTGGTCCCTGTTCCTCAGTTCTTCAGCTCAAGGCTAGCTAGTGCTCTACCACCTGAGCCACAGCGCCACTTCTGGCTTTTTCTGCTTATGTGGTGCTAAGGAATTGAACCCAGGGCCTCATGCATGTGAGGCAAGCACTCTACCACTGAGCCACCTTCCTAGCCCTGGAAAGAAAAATTTTAAAAGAACAATAGTTAGGGATACTTGCCTTAGTAAAGATGCCACAGACCATTATAGAATTGGTATGGAATAAATAGACAGTGGAATACAAAGTTCAAACTAGAACCAAGCGTATATGAAAACCTAATAGATGTCAAAGGAAATAATAAAATTATTTAAGATAAATGATCCTACTGCAGATCACTTTCCATCTGGAAGAAAAACAGAGTCCTAACTAAATCTCAGACAGAAAACAGTTTTTTAATATAAGAATAATTACTGAAAATTGACTACTAAGTAAAAATGAAATATATTTTATCTCTGATAACTTACTTTGTTTCAAAAGCTTATTTTGTCTCAGTAACACTTTGTGGAGATGGAGGTGTGACTCAAGTGGTAAAATGCCATCTTTGAGTACACCAGCCCTAAGCTTAGAGTTCAAGCTTCAGGACAGGTTGTGTGCTGGTATGGACCTTGAACTCAAGGCCTGGGTGCTACCCCTGAGCTATTTTTGCTCAAAGCTAGTGCTCTACATCTTGAACAACCGCTTTACTCCCAGGTGTTTGGTGGTTAATTGGAGATGAGTCTCATGGACTTTCCTGCTGAAGCTGGCTTCAAACCATGATTATAAGATCTCAGTCTTGTGTGTGTAGTCTAGGATTGTAGGATTGAGTCAGCAGCATGCGTGCACGTACACTCGTGTGCACACACACAGAGCTACGTTTGAGGGTTTTTTTGGTCAGTTGTAGGGCTTGAACTCAGCGCCTGGACACTGTCCCTGAACTCTTGCTCAAAGCTAGCACTCTATCCCTTTGAGCCACACTTCCATGTCTGGTTTTGAGTGGCTAATTAGAAATAGAGTCTCACAGGGACTTTTCTGCTCGGGCTGGCTTTGAACCATGATCTTCTTAGCCTCCTGAGTAGGATTACAGGCATTAGCCACCAGTGCCTGGCTTAAAAGTGTTGTTTTTTTTAAAATATAATAAATCAGATATTGCTTTGCTTTTCTGGTATGTCAAAGTAAACAAAAATAAAAAGCTGTAAAGAATTACATTATTAAAGCCGGGTGCTGGTGGCTCATGCCTGTAATCCTAGCTACTCACTCAGAAGGCTGAGATCTGAGGATCACGGTTCAAAGCCAGCCCAGGCAGGAAAGTCCGTGAGACTCTTATCTCCAATAAACCACTAGAAAACTGGAAGTGGCGCTATGGCTCAAACAGCAGAGTGCTCACCTTGAGCTGAAGAGCGCAGGGACAGTGACCAAGCCCAGAGTTCAAGCCCCACAACCGACCAAAAAAAAAAGAATTATATTGTTTAATAACATTTTGTAGAGATTAAGTTGTTATAGTTTTCTACTTTCAAAGATAGTTTGTAAGCCCATAAATATGTTCCAGAGGGTGTATCCTCACCTTGTTTGTGCTTTGTTTTGTTTTGGTCTTTCTGAGGCCATATATTTTCACTTTCTTTGTGTTCCTCCAAGAGTTTGACATTTTTAATGTAGCAATGAGAACATTCTAATATGGCTACTGAAAGATTTACTAAAAACATAATATTATTTTTCAGAGAGTCCTAGAAGAAAATCAAGAACATTATCATATAGTTCAGAAATACCTTATCCTGGGAGATATTGATGGTAAGATATTATACCTTATCCTGGGAGATATTGATGGTAAGATATTATTTTACCTTTCTCTGAGTTCTTTTTTTTTGGTTGGCTGTGGGGTTTGAAATCAGGGCCTGGGTGCTATCCTTGAACTTTTTTTGCTTAAGGATAGCTCTGTACCAATTTGAGCCACAGTACTATTTCCAGTTTTCAGGTGGTTAGTCCTCATATCTCAGCCTCCTGAGTAGCTAGAGTTATGGGCATGAGCCACACCAGCACCCAGCAAGTTCTTCATTTTTTTAATAGTAATTTTTGTGAAAGTTATCCAGACAATACATATGACTCAATCTTTGTTTAACTGAAGCCTCTCGCTTGCTAGGCAGCTACTCTAACACTTGAGCCATTCTTTTTTATTTTAGTTATTTTTCAGAAAAGGTCTCTTGTTTTTGCCCATACCAGCTTAGAATTCTGTGCTCCCATTTAAATCTTCAGCGTAGCTGGGGTTGCACACAAGAACACATGGCTTGTTTATTGAGATGGAGTCTCTCCAACTTGCTTTCTAGGCTGGTCTCAACCTAAATCTTCCTAATCTCCTCCTCTTAAGTAGCTGAAGTTATAGTTGTACATCCCAGTGGTAGGCCTAGCTACATCTTTTGATCTTGTCCTTGAATGCCACAGTTTGTTTGTTATGGTAAACTAAAGTCTGAATTTAACCCAGAGTGTTTAAGTGGAAGTAGAGAGCTATGTGATGGCTATTAACAATGAAATGAGACAGCGATTGTTAGCACTATGAAGGTGAAGTAAATGTCTAATTTTATTCTTTTTGTTGAATCTTTCCTTTGATGGCTTGTAGGTTTGATGGATGAGTTTAGCAAATGGCTTTCCAAAACCAGAAGCAATCTACCTGGACACCTCCTTCGCTTCATGACTCACCTCATTTTATTTTTCCGCACACTGGGACTGCAGACCAAAGTAAATAAAAACAGCTAGCTCGTCTTTCTCCAGTTGATGCTATAGAGTTGTCTTCAGGGAAACACATCACTTTCCCCTAGTGATGATAAGGGTTCATGAGTCTCCTGGATAGACTCACATGTCACCTGATCATGACTCACTGGCAGTGGCCCTGCAGGGGTCCAATCTATAGCCACAGAATAATGTGGTTGCCTGATGAGTAGAGCTTTATTCTTATGAGTATCCAGCCTTAATTAAACCAAATTAACATCTGGGTTAAATTTCAAATCTTTCTCTCTTTTTTTTTTTTTGTCAGTTGTGGTGGGGCCTGAACTCTGGGCCTGGGCTCTGTTCCTCAGCTCTTCAGCTCAAGGCTAGTGCTCTTCCACTTGAGCCATGGCACCACTTCCGGCTTTTTATGTTTATGTGGTGCTAAGGAATCAAACCCAGGGCCTGAGGCATACAAGGCAAGCACTCTACCACTGAGCCACCTTCCCAGCCCCTCCTTTTTTTTTTTCTCTTACATATCTGATAAGATTTTGGTAAAAGTATGAGTAAAAGCAGAATGATACACTAATTGAAAGCTTGAGCTTTGGAGTAAGAATCTTGAGTTCAAATTCTTACTCAGCAAGTTCTAGCTGTATAATTCTGGACACATAAAACCTCCCAGAGTATTTGTTTTTCTTTAGTAAAATGTTAAAAGTTACAGTGACTACTCACAGAGTTAGGATAAGATAAAAACCAAGGCCTAAGTGCTGAGCTTGCCCAACACTTAGCTGGTATGTCATTGCTCAGTGTCAACCATTAACATTCATAGATAATTTAAAAGTAGAAATTTTATTAGATATTGTATTAATGACACATAAACATAGCTAAGTTTTTAATTGAACTATATCTTTTTTTTCCAAAGGAAGAAGTTTCCATTGAAGTTTTAAAGACATATATACAGGTAAGCTTTAAGAATCTACAACTTGGGGGATGGGAAGGTGGCTCAATGGTAGAGTGCTTGCCTTGCATTCATGAGGCCCTGGGTTCGATTCCTCAGCACCACATAAGCAGAAAAAGCTGGAAGTGGTGCTGTGGCTCAAGTGGTAGAGCGCTAGCCTTGAGCTGAAGAGCTGAGGGACAGCACCCAAGCCCAGAGTTCAGGCACCATGACTGGCCCCCCACCCCCCAAAAATAATAAGAAGAAGAATCTACAACTTGGCCTGGCACCGGTGGCTCACGCCTGTAATCCTAGCTACTCAGGAGGCTGAGAGCTGAGAATCTCTGTTCAAAGCCAGCCCAGGCAGGAAACTCTATGAAACTCTTTATCTCCAATAAACCACCAGAAAACTGGAAGTGGCGCTGTAGCTCAAGTAGTAGAGCACTTGCCTTGAGCTGAAGAGCTTAGGCACAGCGCCCAGGCCCAGAGTTCAAGCCCCACGACTGACAAAAAAAAAAGAATTTACAACTTTAATTCTCTTTTCATATTTTAATTTTCAAAAACAGGAATGCTATAAAAACAAAAATCAGAATACTGGTAGGCACTGGTGCCTCATGCTGTAATCCTAGCTACTCACTCAGGAGGCTGAGGATCATAGTTCAAAGCCAGCCTGGGCAAGAAAGTCCGTAAGACTCTTTTATCTCAGATTAATCACCAAAAGGTCAAAAATTGAGCTGTGGCTGAAGTGGTAGAGAGCTAGTCTTTTTTTTTTTTTGTTTTGGTCCGGTCGTGGGGCCTGAACTCTGGGCCTGAGCACTGTCCCTCAGCTCTTCAGCTCAAGGCTAGTGCTCTACCACTTGAGCCACAGCGCCACTCCCAGCTTGTTTTCTTTTTCCTTACGTGGTGCTGGGGAATCGAACCCAGGGCCTCATGCATGCAAGGCAAGCGGAGAGCTAGTCTTGAACACAAAAACTAAGGGATAGTGCCCAGGACCACACCACAAAATATAATCAGAATGCTAAATTTTAATACCCAATGACAGGAAAGTCATCAGCATTCATAAGAGCTCTTTAGGTATGCTAACCATACTTGTAGAATTTAAAATTGTTCTGATTACCAACATCCGCATTGTTTGAATTTTTCTAAATATAATTTAAATTTTAAAGTAACTTTTTTAAAGCACTGCTGATCTTCAAACATTATATACATACTTTGATCTTTTCTGTTTTTTCTTAGCTTTTAGTAAATGAAAAGCACACAAATCTAATAGCATTTTATACCTGCCATTTGCCTCAAGACCTTGCTGTTGCCCAGTATGCATTATTCTTGGAAGGTGTTACAGAGTATGAACAGCGCCACCATTGCCTGGAGCTGGCTAAGGAAGCAGGTAAAAGTGATGATGAGCTTCATCTGGTGGCCTTTTGTTTTTAGGTAGTGCATGTTAATTGTACAGAGTAGTGGGTTTCAGTATATTTATACATGTGTATAGGAACTTTAACCAGGGGTCAATGTTTATTTGTCTCTGACATTTGTCCTTTTAGTATTGAATCTTCAGAGTGGGGAAAAGAATAAAAATATCAGTGAGGCTCTATATGGGCAATAAATAACTTACACTAACTCATATGCAAAGTATTTTTAATTTTGGCATTTTCTGTTATAATGTTTTTCAGATTTTAGATACTGCATTTTTAAATAATTATTGTTCTGGGGATGGGAATATAGCGTAGCTCAATGAAACCATAGCTGGGTTGGATCTCCAGCATTGTAAAAACAAAAACAAAAAAAAGAATTTTTTACAAATCACCAAATTAATTCTATTTAGGGAATATTAGTATTAATCACTACTTTTTTAGCATTTCAAAATTTTTTTTAGATTTGGATGTTGCAACAATAACGAAAACAGTAGTTGAGAATATTCGAAAGAAAGACAATGGTGAATTTAGTCATCATGACCTGGCCCCAGCCCTAGATACTGGCACTACTGAGGTAATTTCAGGGCACAGGGGGGAGGTGAAGGTGGGGGTAAAGGTGTTATGTAACTTTTTTTTTTTTTTTCCGATTCTGGGGCTTGGGCTCAGGGCCTTAGGACCCTCTTTGTGCTCAAGGCTAGCACTCTACCACTTGAGCCATAGCACTACTTCTAGCTTTTTTGAGTAGTTTATTGGAGATAAGAGTCTCATGTTCTGCCCAGGCTGGCTTCAAAATGTGATCCTCAGATCTCAGCCTCCTGAGTAGCTAGGATTACAGGTGTGAGCCACCAGTGCCCTGCTATGTTATGTAACTTTTTAATAATCCCTCATTCCTTGATGCATTTCTACTTTAAAATATACTTGTTTCTTAAACTTTTTTCCTCCTATCTCAGAAAGACTTTTTTTTTTTGAATTATATTTATTTTTAAGTAATTGTACAAAGGGGAGTTACCATTCAACATACCACTTTATGAGCACAACACATCTTGATCAGTGTCACCCCTTTCATCATTCTCTCACATCCTTCCCACGCCTATCCATCAAGAATCTTTTGCTTAAAAAAAAGCCAGGCGCTAGTGGCTCACACCTGGAATCATAGCTACTCAGGAGGTTGAGATCTGAGGATCGAGATTCAAAGCCAGCCTGGACAAGAAAGTCTGTGAGGGGGCTGGGAAGGTGGCTCATGGTAGAGCACTTACCTTGCATGCTCGAGGTCCTGGGTTCGATTCCTCAGCACCACGTAAGAAAAAGCCGGAAGTGGCGCTGTGACTCAAGTGGTAGAGTGCTAACCTTGAGCTGTAGAGGTGAGGGACAGCGCCCAGGCCCAGAGTTCAGTCCCCACGACCGTAACCGCCCCCCCCCCCCCCCAAAAAAAAAGAAAGAAAAAAGAAAAAGCTAAGAGACAGTGCCAAGCACTGGCAGCAAAAAAAAAAAAAAAAATCACATGGTTACAATGAGGGGAGGGCATGTGATATATAGTTCCAAATTCATAGACCTAGTGGGTTTTTCTATAATTTAGTCAAGAGCTATTAATAGGAAAATAAACTAAAAGTTAAATTTTTTGATAATTCTATCAACTTGAATGAATATGTTGTTCACTAGAAGTACAAATATAGGTACTACTGATTTACCAAACATGGAAAATAACAAAACTGATGTTTCTTTTATCTCCATAAATGGCTAGGAGGATCGGTTGAAGATTGATGTAATTGACTGGTTGGTATTTGACCCTGCACAGAGGGCTGAAGCACTGAAACAAGGCAATGCCATAATGAGAAAATTCTTAGGTATGCTCCCATTTTATATGCTTTGTTCAGGTCTATATGTTTTAATTTTTTCAAAATCTTGGTCTTCCTCCAGGGTGGAGAAAACCAGCTTCTCTTACATATCAAATATACCATTATTAAACAGTTTTAACAGTGAATTTTCCTCATTATTATCAATTTTGCATATGTCATAGATAACAGACTTTGAAACATGTAATTGCTTTTTTTTTTGGTGCTGGTCCTTGGACTTGAACTCAAACCCTGGGCACTGTCCTTGAGCGTTTGGTCTTTTTGGTAGCAAATTGGAGATAAGAGGCACACAGACTTTCCTGCTGTGGCTAGTTTTGAACTGCAAGCCCCAGAAATCAGCCTCTTGAGTAGCTAGGATTACAGGCATGAGCCATACAGTGCCCAGCATACTTGCTTTGTTAAGACATAGAAGTACATGAAAGTCAAGTGATTTAATGTGTGACACTGAGATGAGGAAAGAGCCAGCTCAAGAGATAGATCACAAGGCCATGGGACCTGAAATGTAAAAGTTACAAGCCAGTGATTTCACCCCTGGCTTCATCATGGGAGCCCTTGCATATTAAAAATGTGTATCCTCTTTTCACAGCATCAAAAAAGCATGAAGCTGCCAAAGAAGTATTTGTGAAAATTCCTCAGGATTCCATAGCAGAAATCTATAATCAGTGGGAGGAACAAGGAATGGAAAGTCCACTTCCTGCTGAAGATGATAATGCTATCAGAGAACATTTGTGCATTAGAGCTTATTTGGTGAGATTGCAAAGAAAACCACGGTCTTCATGGTGACTTTTCTGACTCTCAGGCTTCAGACCTTTTTCAGAGGTGGTGATTGGTTTGTTTAACCTCCTTTGAGATTACAGTGCTAACTGACCCACAGGGGAAATGAAATCCTGACCTGTCTTCACTAGCATGATTTTTCCATTGATTGCTAGCCACCCAAGATTAGAACAAGGTGTATGATACCTGAAACTTATCTTTTTTTTAAGATTCTATGAACGTTTGCCTCAACTTTAATAATTTTGCTTTTGGCATTATCTGAGAAAAACATGATATTCTACATCTGTTAGGACTTAAGTAACAGGAAAATTTATTCACCAAATAATCCAGTGATTGCAGTAGGCTAATAACTAGGCTGGATTTGTGGATAGCATTTTATGTTTGCTACTAAATGCTAATAGATGAGGTGAGTGGCATGGATTAAATAGTAGAGTGCCTTTCTAGCAAGTACAAAGCCCTGAGTTCAAAACTAGTGCTGCCAAAAAATAAGTAATAAATAAATTATAAAAATAAAAGCTAATAGGTTAATAGACATGATAGATAAGATGGGTAAGTGTGCTTACTTTACAGAATGATAAATGGCAGTAAGATATTCATTATCCAGGTGCAGGAATAGGAGCATATGTCAGGAAATAGTACAGTATATGTACTTTACTGGTATTTGTCATCTCATAAAGCATTTGCATATTTAGAGAGAGAATGTGTGTGTGTGTGTGTGTGTGTGTGTGTGTGTGTGTGTGTAAAATAAATATTGGCTAGTTTGGGTATGTGATTACAAAATTATTTCTTAAGAACAAAACCTTTTAAGAAGCTTGGTGACTGCAGTAAAAATAAAAAGTTTTGTTTATTTCATTTTTTAGGAAGCCCATGAAACCTTTAATGAGTGGTTTAAGCATATGAACTCAGCTCCACAAAAACCTACTGTGATTTCTCAACCAAGTTTTACTGAGAAAGTGGCTTTTGAACACAAAGAAAAGAAATATGAAGTAAGTTGAATATGGATCTGAGATTATTTTACATTAAAAATGTATACTAGTATTTACAGAGGTCATTTTTACAGATTATATACTCCATTTATAACAGCAGTCTTCCTATTAATGTTCTACTTTAAAAAAAAAAGCCAACTGCCTAATTACCTCTCTGAGGATGATGCTAGCATTCATTTACAAAATTAACATTTTAGTATTTGTAATGCTGTTTACTGTAATTTTTGATATTTGACTTACTAAAGCATCTAGAATGATGTTCTATGTGTATATTCTTCAGGCTTCCCTTTTTGGACCAAAAACACAAACCAATAGGGACAGGAAACTAAATTGGATGCCCTGTCCACTGCTAGAACTATAGATTAATTATCTCAAGTCTCCACTTCTTAATCTTAAAGTTCAGGATGTGGTAAATATATAATATTTATTTGTGTTCATTATTTCTGCCTTATGTTCTTTTTGCAGATGGATTATGGTATTTGGAAAGGGCACTTGGATGCCCTGACTGCTGATGTGAAAGAGAAAATGTACAACGTCTTGCTGTTTGTTGATGGAGGGTGGATGGTAGATGTCAGAGAGGTAAACTGTGTGTGACCTGCAGAACATTTTAAGTAGCCTGAGAAAAGGCTAGGCTTCTTTTCCTTTTCTTCTCCCTTTCTTCCCCTCCTTTTTTGTGTGTTTTGGGGCAGGGATGTGGGGATAATGAGGCTTCAACTCAGGTTTCACACTGGCTCCTAGCTTCTGCTTAAGGCTGGTGTGCTACCACTTGATCCACACCTCCACTTTCTGCTTATCACTGGTTCATTGTAGTTAAAGCTTTCACAAACTCTTTCTGCTCAAGCTGGCTTTGAACTGCAATCTCAGATCTCAGGCTCTTGAGGCTTTGTTTTATTTTTAATAAGGATGATAAGCTTTAGAAATATTCTTTAGCTTCTACCTCTTCTGGTTTTAATCCAATATAGTAATCCCTCAGCATCCATGGGGAATTGATTCTAGGACCCCGAGGATATCAAATTTCTATATATGGTTCCACATATACTATAACCTAATAGTCTCATTCAACCTATCCACATCCTGTAGTATCCTTTAAATCTTCCAGATTACCTATAATACCTGATGAAAATGCTACATAAATAGTTGAAACATTCTTGTTTAGGGAATAATGAAAAGAGTGAAAAGTCTGCACATGTTTAGTGCAGATGCAACTTTCCTCCAACATTTTCCATCTCTGCTAAATTAAATCAGCAGATTCAGAATGTATAGTAATTTAGGGATTACTGTTTGTAAGGGTATTTAGCTTAACATTGTTAAGATGAGTACTTGATATTTTAGGATGCTGAAGAAGACCATGAGAGAACGCATCAGATGGTTTTACTAAGGAAACTTTGTCTACCAATGATGTGTTTTCTGCTGCACACCATATTGCACAGCACTGGTCAGTATCAGGAGTGCCTGCAGTTAGCAGATATGGTGTCCTCTGAGCGTCACAAACTCTATCTGGTAAGTTCTACAGCATTTTCATTTGTATATTAACCTGATTTGGCTTACTCTGTGATAATGTTAAATTTTATGAAGATTTTTTACATTTTTTAGTTGTTCTTAAATTCTGAGGCGGGGGGGGGGGGGGGGGGGGGGGAGGTGTGTGTGTGTGTGTGTGTGTGTGTGTTGGGAGGGAGACAGCTTTGGGGTTCCTGAACCACTCAAAAACACCAGATTTGGGCTGGGAAGGTAGCTCAGTGGTAGACCGCTTGCCTTGCATGCATGAGGCCCTGGGTTTGATTCCTCAGCACCACATAAGCAAAAAGAAAAAAGCCAGAAGTGGTGCTGTGGCTCAAGTGGTAAAGCGCTAACCTTGAGCTGAAGAGCTGAGGGACAGCGCCTAGGTCCCACAACCAGACCCAAAAACAAAAAAAAATCAGATTCTATCCACATAAATCCTGAAAAGGAATTTCTATTTATTTATTTATTTTTGCTGGGCCTTAGGCTTGGACTCGGGTCTAGGTGCTATCCCTGGGCTCCTTTTGCTCAAGGCTAGTGTTGTACCACTTGAGCCACAGTGCCACTTCTGGCTTTTTCTGTGATTAATTGGAGATGAGTCTCATGGACTTTCCCTTCCTGAGCTGGCTTCAAATCACAATCCTCAGATTTCAGGCTCCTAAGTAGCTAAGATTATAGGTGTGAGCTACTAGCACCTGGTAAATTTCTTCTATTAGGCTAAGTTCATATGCTTCTTTTTCCTCATTCTTATTTTTTTTTCTCTTTTAATATCAGGTATTTTCTAAGGAAGAACTAAAGAAATTGCTTCAGAAGTTAAGGGAATCCTCTCTCATGCTTCTTGACCAGGGACTTGATCCATTAGGATATGAAATTCAATCATAATTCATCAGTTTGAATTCTCATTTCCATGAAATATGGAGGTTTTTTTTTTTAAATAAAACATACATATTTGTAATTGCTAGCTTTTTTTTGTATCATAGAAAAACGTAAAATTTTAGGCATTTGAATTTTGTACTTTTCAGATAATTATGCTTATACTTTGAAATTTTAATGTATTATATCAGTATTTCCCTTGGTGTGTTTTTTTAATGAAATTATTCAAAAATTAAAAATTTTCATTCTTACAAATTCTATATTTATCTACTGTATCATAACTAAATGTTTTATTCTTTTTTTTCCTATACTCATCAGTACTGATTTTTTTTTAACATGAATATAGCCCAGTGGCCTGTGTCTCACTCTTGTACTTCTGGACTATTCAGGGAGCTAAGATCTGAAGATAGAAGTTCAAAGCCAGCCCAGCTAGAAAGTCTGTGGAAACTCTTATCTCCAGTTAGCTACCAAAGAGCCAGGAATGGAGCAGGGGCTCAAGTGGTAGAATTATAGTCTTGAGTGAAAACGCTAAGGGACAGCCCAGGCTGTGAGATCAAGTCTTAGTGCTAGTGCACACCCTCACATGTGCACACACACACACAATTTAATGCTGGCCACCAGTGATTCATACCTGTAATCCTAACTACTTGGGAGGCTGAGGACTTGAGGATCACAAAAGCCAGTCTGGGCAGAAAAATCCAAGAGATTCTTTCTCCAAAATAACCAACAAAAAAGGCAAGCTGGAAGTGTGGCTCAAGAGCACCAGCCCAACAAGTAAGTTGGCTGTGAAAGCCCATAAGTTCAAAACTAAGTTCTAGCCAAAAAAAAAAAAAAAGAATAGCTATTAGTTGAACCATGTTGAGTCAGGGATTGTCTGAATTTTCAAATATTGAAAGAGCAATTATAATGATGTAATTTATTATGCATGGTATGATTAGCTCAAATCTGTAATCACAGAGAATGAGTTGAGGTAAATGAGGATAGTTCATGGACTCAGTGAGGGAGTGGTGACAGTAACCACTGTAAATCATTAATCAGGAGTTCTGTAGTTCCAAACCAGAAGGGATGATAACACTGTGAATGTATAGTGAAAAAGACACACAGTACAGTCAAACTTGGTAGAATTTGATATTACAGGTTTAGTGGTATCAATAGAACAGCATACACAAAAGAGCATTATCAGAAAGACCACCTTGAAAAAACTGGACTTTAGACATTGCTTATTTAACTTTTACTGATTTTCAAATATTAGTCTAAGAGTCATTTCATAGCCAGGTGTAATGGTACACACCCATAATCTCAGTACTCAGCAGGAGGATCATGAGTTCAAAACCACCGTGTTTCCAAAAACAAATGTCATTTCCTTAGAGAAGTTTTTGACCACCTCTCCCTTACCAAATGTAGGAAAAGTTATTATACTCTCTCTCATAGGATCATATTTTACTTCAGAAAATCATTTATTATAATTCATAAATGTTTAGTAGTCTCATTAAGTTCTATAGAAGGTCTGGTCTGGTTACCTGCCTTTACCTGCCAAGTGCCAAGGTGCTCAATAAATACTGAATAATTCCTCTGTGCCTGTGCGCGTCTATGTAGGTTCTTGAGCTCAGTGCCTGGGTGCTGTCCCTGAGCCTTTTTGCTCAGTTAGCTCTCTACCACTTGAGCCATAGTTCCACTTTCCCCTTTTCATTGGCGATAAAACTCTCATGGATATTCCTGCCCAGGCTGGCTTGGAACTGCGATCCTCAGATCTCAGCCCTCTGAATAGCTAAGAGTACAGGCTCGAGCCACAAGCAGCAGGCAGAAACATTTGTTACTGTTTAACATTATGCTTTGCAGTGAGAACTGCATCCTCCTCCCCCCAGCTTAGCGAGATGTAAGCGTGCTCAGAATCTGTCTCACTTGGTAAAACTGGCTAACATCAGCCACAAGCTTTCCCTCCACCCCCACCTTAGATGAAAAGAAGCGAGGGAGGACCCACAGGCCTCTTCCATCCCAGACCCCTTAGGGACCTGGAGGGTGGAAGCGCTGAGCACACTCCTCACCTGTCTGCTTCTCGAGCCCTGTGCGCCTGCGCAGGGAGGTGACTGCGCCCAGCGGAAGTGAGGTCGCTGGAGTCACGTGGCCCAGGGCGGAGGCGGGGCAGCGCTGCCGCGTACACGCTGAGTCAAAGGGCGGCCACCCAGCCCCGGCCCTGGAGCGTGTGCGGCCTGCGGCGCGCCTCCTTCCTGACTGGTGCATGCCTCTCCCTGGCGGGACCGCGAGGCCGTGGGGGGGAAGCGCAGCCGCAGACCGGCTGGACCCCTCTCTCGGAGGCTGGACGGCCCCGGCCTTACGGAGGACGCTGCTCACCCAGCGGCGGGCTTCATGGCATCCTTGGCCGACCGAGTGCGGAGCCATGGGCGAATCGCCGCTGGGCTCCTGTTTAACCTGCTGGTGTCCATCTGCATCGTGTTCCTCAACAAATGGATCTACGTTCACTACGCGTTCCCCAACATGAGCCTGACCCTGGTGCACTTCGTCGTCACCTGGCTGGGCTTGTACATCTGCCAGAAGCTGAACATCTTCGCCCCCAAGAGCCTGCCGCCCTCCAAGCTCCTCCTCCTGGCCCTCAGCTTCTGTGGGTTTGTGGTCTTCACCAACCTTTCTCTGCAGAACAATACTATAGGTACCTATCAGCTGGCCAAGGCCATGACCACGCCGGTGATCATAGCCATCCAGACCTTCTGCTACCAGAAGAGCTTCTCCACCAGAATACAGCTCACGATGGTGAGTAGCTCGAGCGGGGAGGGGGAGGGGGGTATGTGCATCACTGCTCCCACCTTTCCAGCAACTTCCTCCCCCAGAACTTTGTTTAGCCTTGCAACACGTTCTTTCCCATCATTTTGAATCCACATGCATAAGCATGTGAACTTCAGACTTATAGTTGGGGGTGGTTGTGGCTCCTTTTGGTACCCTGTTGGTTTCTTGGCCCAAAACGGGCATGCATGTATGGGTTTTAGCAACCACCTGTACGGGAAAGGGAAGAAAGCTGTATTAGGTGGTGCAACCCAACGTATCATAATACCTGCACAAGCCCAAACTGAAAATCAGTCCTCCTCCCTTGTGAAATCAAACTATGATAAACAAAAAAAAACCTAGCATAAAATGTCTCAGAATAAGTCTGCGGTAACATACTGCAGAAATGACAGCATCCTGGGGGGAAAAGACATTTCCTAAGATGATTTTTGGCATTTAGTAACTTAGAATGCTTAAATCTTAAATACTTTTGTTTTTGCTTATAACTTGTTTAGACAGTTTAGACTATCCACTTATCTACCTGTCCATACATGTATTTTTCTTGTAAAGTACAATGCATGGACTCACTATTTTACCTCGAATTTAAAGTAGAATTATATGTGAATGTCATTATGCAACTATCATATTTCACATTCAGGAAACAGAATTAACATTTGTACAGTTAACAGTTCCATGTTTATGATTAGTTTTTTAAGACATCTTGAAAGGAATTGCAAAATTTGTTTCTTGAATTTAATCTGAACAACATTTACCTCTTTTTCTTTACAGATTCCTATAACTTTAGGTGTAATCCTAAATTCTTATTACGATGTGAAGTTTAATTTCCTTGGAATGGTGTTTGCTGCTCTTGGTGTTTTAGTTACATCTCTTTATCAAGTGGTTGGTAATTTTTTTTTCTTTATGTGCCTTTTTAGCAGATTTCATAGATTTTGAAGCTGTATCCCAAGGTTTAGAAAATACAGTATAGAGACAATAGACTGTTGGGAAGAAAGCATAATTGCATAAATTGTCTGACTCCAGGTGAAGAGAAGAAAGGAGACAGAGAAACTTGGGTGTAGGATGCTCACCAAACACCTACCTGTTTGTAAGTGCTTAATACCCATGCTTAACAGTCTGAGTTTGGGGTGAAGTTCAGTTCTTTTTTGGGAAATCTTTATAAAATAAGTAGTAAGACTTTTACTTTTTACTAAGTTCATTGGTTATATAAATATACATATGTTTGCTTTTAATTAGAAAGTTGCTGCAAAGCATCTTTATAATTTAGAGTATTTATAGAGTATTTTATAGCAGTGGGTTTTTTGCTTCCTGTGCAAGCAAGGCGCCTTGCCCATAGGCATTATTCATTTAAAATTTGTTCATGGACTCCCTTATTTTATTACCATAAATCCCAACAAGTATGGTTTTTTTCTTGTACAGTGAGGAAAAATAACTTGGTGCAAGGAACAGTGAAACAGTATTCTCTCTATACTGAAAACCTTGGTCTGGAAATTTTGGGTGTGCCTGCATGGGGAATCAGCCAAAAAGTGTGACCAGTTTTCCTTACTTCACCAACGTCTACTGGTGATAAATGAAGGCATTCTTGCTAGGAATGTTCATTTAGTAATACAGTCCTGGCAATCTAAACTCTTTGGTAATGAACGTATTAGAAGATGAAAAACATTACAGTCATGAATACTTTTTTAAAATGTTTTAGGGCTTTTTGTTTTTTAATTATTTTTTTCAGTACTAAAGCTGAACCTCAGAGTCTCCCTGCATGGTAGGCCATTGCTCGAACAGTGAGCTATACCTGAACCCTTTTTCTTTTATTTTGAGAGCGGGTTTTACTAAGTTTGCCAGAGTGGCTTTGGATTTCTAAACCTCCTGCCTCAACCTTCTAAATAGCTGGGATTACAGAAACATACTACTACACTCAGCTTATTTATTAGAATTTCTTTTTTGTGTACTTTCTTTTTTGGTGGTGCTGAGATTTGATTGAGGCCACCACTTTTGTGCCTAAAGAGAGATTCACGGTACCTAATGAACCTACAATAGGAAGGATGGGGAGTATGTACTCTGCCCATCCATTTTGGCACACTGCTTTGTCCCCATGAGCAAGTGGTAGAAAAATAAATTCTTGGCCCTTCATATTCATAGAAGACTCTATAGCTGCTGGCAGGAGTATGGCTCAAATTTCCTGCTCTTCTATTTTTATCTTGTGAATTTCTGTACTCATAGTTTATATAACAAACAGGACAAGGAGAGCTATAGGAAAAAGATACATAGAAGGCATTCAGTAGCTAAGCTATGCTTGCCTGATGTTACTCACTGAGCATTTTTAAAAATATTTTTATTATCTGTAAGTAGTTGTACAAAGGAGTTGCCATTCACCAAAGCAGTTTATATCACTGAACATGCTTCAGAGTCTTCTTCCCAGACATAGTTGTAAAACACTTTGAGGGCTGATGGTTTCTGAGGTG